GCCTATATATATATATATATATATATATATATATATATATATATACTATATATATATATATATATACTATTATGTTACACTGCTATGTTTAACAAAAACAATCAAGTGATATGTTTAAAAATATATACTCATAGATGTAATAATATACAGGCATAGATCAATGTAATATTATTGCAAATTTTACGATACTGTACTGTGTATTATGGAACCTTCCACAACGGTTTCAGCAATTTACCCTACTGTTTTGTTCTTTCTTGCAGTTGTTTCCTAACCCTCAAGCGTATGTATTACGCTGTTGCAATTCCTGTTGCTCTACCCTTACTTTTCAACACCTTAATATTCATTATGGTTTTACATAGTTTAAGCCTACGTGGGACAAAAACAAATGATTCTACACTAAAAAAGCAGAAAAACAGAAACAATGGGATGAAAATGTTACAGAATGGAGTGAGCATTACGTTGGTGTTGGGTTTAACATGGATTATCGGCTTCTTCGCTATTGGTGATGCTGCAGTAATTATGCTGTGGCTTTTTTGTATTCTTAATTCTTTTCAAGGGTTTCTTATTTTTATCATGTACTGTGTCAGAAATAAAGATGTACGTACTCACTGGTGCAAAATGTTGTGCATTTTACCATAAAGTACAAATGTTTTCGATCATAACCTCCAGCGAGTAACTATTTTCCAGGTTTAAAAAAAAACATTTTCTAATCCTAAGTAAAAATAAATCTTGTCTTTATTTCCTAGCCACTGTAGAAATATTTTCAACGAAAAAAATTAAGTTATTAGGCTTTAAGAAATATATATAAAGATAATGATGAAAATGTATTGTGCACCGGTATCCATCCGTAAAAATGCTTATGGCGCATCGACACGGCAATGCATTAGATTGTTCACGTTTTCGAATGCTTTATTTTTTATACTTAATATTTTATAATGTATTTAATAACTTTTACATCAAGCAAGCGGTATACACTTAATTAATGAGGAGCTGAAAAGGGGGCTGGTCTCCGATTGCAAAAGCAGACACTCCTTTGGCAAAATGCTGGGCTCCAGTAGTTTCCATTATTGGCAAATCCCTGGCTCCGCTACCGTGCGCTGCAAAGACAGTGACGGAATAGGAAAAAGGCGATGTCCCAACGTATTTGTCAGATGGCATGAGAAAGCTCCTCCAAGAAATATATGTTCAGGAATCCGGGTTCAATGCCCATAAGCCCCCTTGAAATTATCTCACTTCTAACGTTTGTGGCGCCATTTTGTTGGGACCAGTTTGCCGAAACCGAGTTTGCCGAGTTTATAGCCACTCTGCCGAAACCCAGTTTGCCGAATCCGATCACCAACCAAAATAATGACAATTCAGTTTGCCGAAACCCTGTTTGCAGAAATGAGATACATTTTGAATGTCACCATCATCTGCTGCATCGCTGCTCATTTTTATTTTGTTTTATTTTTGATTATTATGTTGTTAAGCGAGTTGTTAATATTGAGGCGCTATATAAATATTGACAATTTCTGTTATTATTATATAATCTTAACAATCACTTTTGTTGTAAGCATGTAATACGTCTAAGTGCCTCGATGGGGACCAACATGTTGAAAAACACACTTAAAGGCATAGCTACCAGTTGTAGAATAGAATGAAATGAAATTGAAGATTAAGTATCAAATCTTATTATAAGTGTTAACCAGAAAAATATACATATATTTCGTCAAAACGTTTAAGCACATAAATTGAAGCCCATATGCACGTGTCGGTGGTACGAGTGGTGGGTCAGAAAGGCACATCCTTAGTTGGACAAGCCTGGACCCTGCCCCCGTCGTCCGACGCCAGGAAGAGGTCGTTGGACCAAAAATAATAATTTGCTTATCCATACGTTATTTTTATTGCCAATCCCTTATATTGTAGTATAAAAACACAATTTGGGTCATACGAAAACCTAAAAAACTATACCAGGGATTTTTATTCCGGGACCCACTGGCACATGTGTATAATTGTAGATTATTATTTATTCTTTTTCTTCAGGTCTACTTATTATTATCTTAATTAAATTTTATATAGGCCTATTTATTATAAATATGCTTATGACATTTTGCCTAATAGGCCTATTTAATATTTTTTTTTTGCTGATAGCCGAATTGTTTTAAATCAAGACAAAAATAATAATGACTATAATAATCCGCTATTTATTATACGAATACACAGTGATCGCATCGCGTTGGAATGGCTTCTAAATTCTCAATGTCGCAATTCTGACCGGCGCTGAAATTCTGCTGGCGCCACCAGTCATGGTAAGAGAGTGCTTCATTGTAAATTTTATGCTTCTGTTAATATTTCAATTAATTGACTTTCGACAAACTGGGATTCGGCAAACTGGGATTCATGGTTTATGGGTAGGCAAACTGGAATTCGGCTAACTGGGTTTCGGCAAAGTGGAGACTCGGAATCTGGTATTCGACAAACTGGGTTTGGCAATCTGGCCCGGATCTGCTTGCTCTCTATTTTAAAATGGTGACTGTTCTGAACTGTTAACGGTTATTTGGTTAAAAAATTCCAAAATAAGTATTTCTGCAGCCAAAAGACTTGAACAATTTAAATTCGATTTACCCCCACCCTACCCGTGCCCAGTGGCGTAACAGGCGGGGGAAGGGGGTAGACTGCCACCCCCCACCCCCTGACGGTTTTTACCGGGCTGACCAAGCCGTCGTACCGGGCTGGATAATAGAGAAAAGAAAGAGGGGAGAGGAAGGAAAAGAGAAAGAAGGGGAAAAGAAAAGGAAAGGAAAAGGAAAAGAGAAGAGGAAAAAAAATAAATAAAAAGGAATATATCATAATGACCAGACTCACAACACTATGCAACCCCTTTTCCACTTCAAAAAGTGTCCATAGCTCCTTTGATCTAAGCCGCCAGATATTCTTCGCAGTGGCATAACCACCCCTTGAAGATGCCCTTTTCACCCCCTTAATGTGCCTAAAAATCTCAAATTTCACGCGCATTTCTTGTTAAAGTAGGCCAATTTCATCGAAAAATTGCACATTTTATGGAGTTTTGATCAATTCCGACGAAATTAGAATTAAAAACACAAAATTTTTAAGGGTTTTTTAGGGTTAGCTTTCTAAGTTATTTAAACACATAAAAGTCCTAAACTCAAGAAAGAAAATTTAAGATAGATCGTTTTACCTAAAAGAAGGGCCTCAATGTGTAATGATGGTGAAAGAATATTTCTTTAATAAATAAAGCCATAATGAAAATGCTTATATTCAGTTTAAAAAAAACGTGTGTGGCCATATAATAACATAAGCCCTAAACTAAAAGAAAAAAAAATGTGCACGCCTCGCGCCATTTTTGAGGGCGTGAACTTGTGCTTGTCCTCCTTTGCCTTTATAAGTTAATTGAACACATAATAGTCCCAACTCAAATAGAAAGGACATTTAAGACAGATCGTTTTACCTAAAAGAAGGGCCTCAATGTGTATTGATGGTGAAAGAATATGTTTGTAATAAATAAAACCATGATGAAATTTTTTTGAAATAAATTCATTTGGAACCAAATATAATTTGTATGAGATTTTTCATTTGTGTTGATCCAGCAAAAAACAAAACAATAGTACTCACACTACGTTTCGCGAACGATCCGTTCGCTTTCTCAAGTAGACTGGTGATGTTATCGCCAGTCTGGTCTGACGTCACCTCGGTGTTGTTGAGGTCAAAGTGCATCGCTGCGACGTCGACGAGGCCCCCTCTCAGTGTTGTGGTCCAATATGATATCATCATACATATGTGATAGAATGTGTCCTCCTTCATCTCTGTTCATAGTATCTGTTGTTTTTCTGATCCATAAAGATTCTCTGATTTTTCGTTCAAACCATGAGCTTTCTTTTTGTAATATTTTTATGTCCCAATTTGGAATATGATTTAGTTGTGTACATGGCATGATCGGTGATCGCAAATTTATTTAAAATTTGATTGCAGATTTTAAAAAAATAAAAAACAAATTTTAAATAAATCTTCAATCACCGATCATGCCACACAACTAAATCATATTCCAAATTGGGACATAAAAATATTACAAAAATAAAGCTCATGGTTTGAACGAAAAGTCAGAGAATCTTTATGGATTTTATGGTTAAAAACTTCAAATACACGTCTTCTCTACGATATCACGAATTAAAAACAAGATGACAGTGAATTCTCCATAGTTTTTCCAACAACCGGATACCATCAGCTCCTACAAACATAGCCTCTGATTGTTGAGAACCCCTATAGAGTATTTTCCTTATCTGTAAAAAGAAATCCAAAAAATTAGCTCTTTTACGGCTCTTTCATCTTCTCTATATCTAGTAGTGTCGGTTTAGTGTTTCCTTAATGTGTCAAAAAATTCTCCGGAATCTCCATCTTCAGAGGAACTCAAATCCCTGACAGTGAATACGTTTGTAATCTCCGACTACTGTATAATTAGATTATCAGAAAGGAGAAAAAGACTTTTCAGCTAGTTTAACTTGCTAATATTACTCAAGGTACTAGGTGGGCTACGATCGAAACAAAACCAAACAAGTGATGCGTTTTCGTTTCCTTAACTATACCAAACTAATTTACCTTCTTTTAGCTTGGGAAACCGCTACCATACGTAAATTCAAACACTACGCTCAGAATATTAAAATCCATAGCCATCCAGAAACCGAGAAAGATTCGGAAAAAATGTGATGCACGGCATTGCGATTTAACATTAGAAACTGTTTTTCTAGCAACCCAGTCGGGGAGAAAAGTCTCTACTGACGCTTAGGACACAATTTATGGCCCCGTCTATTTACAGTGTTCATAATGATTTTCAACAAAGTGCAGAATGTTTATGACTTGTTTATTACCTCCTCCAAATTAGGTTATGTGTTATATTTGGTATCCGATCATTTCGTCGGTCGCGCCTTCATTTTAGCGGAATGTGTACATAATAATTGAAAACTGAAATCATTCAATTTTTGAAAGAAAAGTTTAAAGGACAAGGTTAAGGTCACAGAAATTCGATTTTACACCCTTGAGCATAAAGAAAATAATAGAATAGCACCTCGTATTCAGGCAGCACTCAAGGAAATATAGTAATCTGCCTGAATACGACAGTCATTAATTCCATTATTTTCTTAAAGGTATGCTGCATCACTCAAAAAATAATGTGCCTGAATACGACGGACGATCCCATTATTAATACCGTGTAAGTATAACTAGATTTGCGATGAAGATTTGAATATTCTAATACGATACGAATACCAAATATTTTTTTTATCTCCAAGTTTATCATCGAGTTAAAAGACAAATAATTAAAAGAGAATAAAGAAAAACGTTAAAAGTCATAACAACAAAGACTTTTAACTCAAGGTTCCAAAACTAGGAAACACCCGCGACTGTTATGGGTTATTCAATTCAATTCAACAATTCAATTTTTATTTCGGATGCCATAGACAAAATGATCACAAGAGAATAAGGCTCACTACCCAAATATGGGCCTGAACGAATTCAATTAATTAATTAATGACAATGCGCGATGTTTCTACTGTGCCGGTACAACTGTTTCCTAAGCCCCACGTGGTTGGGCTCTAGGTGGTCGGAATGGGACGGAGGACGCGGCCCGGCGCCCTCCCCTTCCCACCGCCCTTCCCCTCCCACACCTAATCCACCACTGTATAGGGCTTAATTTATTGGTTTGTGACCCCTCACTTTGCGTCAATGCATACCCAATTTCAGATTAGCCTATTAAGCACAATGTGACGCCGTGGCAAATACCATTTTGGTATTTACTGACTCAACATTTACGTCATCATTGCTCAGGTACCGACGCCCAATCATGCAGCGGAGGTGTTCCATTGATATTAATAATACATGAATGATTCTTTTCTCTGACTGTTTACTATACAGCCCTGCTATTCATGATCAGAATCAAATTATTATAAATTTGAAACAGGCTCCACTATAAACACTGATTGTAATTTTAGTATACTATTAATTATATTTGAATGCCTAGCGATTACTAGAACACAATTCATGAACTAATATTGGGACTTTTGAAACAGTGATACACTTCCGCCTGCGAACCATATATTTTCTCCATTGTCCAATACAATATTTAATACAATATTTATTGGATATCACTTCAACAATGGGACACAGAGTGGTACATAAAAATAAGAACAAATCAGAAACATGACAGATAATGGTACATAAAAATAGAACGAAACAGAAACAAATAGAAATTAAAGCAAAAAGTACAACAGATAAACGGATGAATGTAAGATCTATAAATATATGATAGCAATGGTTATCGAAAGACAAGTAAGTATTTTTAAAAATTACACTAAAGGAAGGAAACAAACAAAATATTTGCTATTGAAATATACATGTAATTTTACATGTACATGTAAAAAAGTTATATAGCAAGTTAGATGATTATTTTGTGGTTTTAAGGTTCTTGGTATTGGAATGTATTTAAAAATAGATTGTTTCTAAAGAGAATATATTCCGATTTAATACTTTCATTGTTAATCATGATAACGAATATAAGTTAAATAAACTTTCAGTTGAGAAAGAGAACGAGCAAATGTTTCTATCTTCTTTCTTTATTTGTTCCACTTGAACATACAGAACAAACAATTCAATATAAGTGGAGAGGTAAGTAAAAGAAAGCAAAATATCAAGTGAAGGAGCCTGAAAAGAAAGCAGAGCTTGTAAGTATTTAGGCTCCTAAAACAAAAGTAAACAAAAAAAATTACATAAAAAATGTATTTATTTTAAACAAACTGAAAAAAAAAAAAACAAGAATCCAAATTGTTCTTTTTATGATCTTCTAATATTTGAATAAGAGGTGTTTTTGCGTCAATTTCTATACTTTCCTCTCAATTTCTTTCATTCCATTTTAACGTTGATTTTGTTTTTGTATATTTTAATCTACTTTGGTCCCTATTACAAACCCAATTGGTTTTTATCTTGTTGAGTGTTCCTTTTTGTCAATTTCTATTTTTTTAACTGTACTTTCTTGTGCCATTTTATGATGAATAAAATATTTTTGTATTGTATTGTATTTTCATGGCACATTTAGTATGTATAGCCAATACTTATTACTTTCATTTTAACAAAAAACTCTGTTACCCCTTATATCTCACAACTCAGGGAGACTCATTTTCTACACTACACTACAGCTGGGTATAAGCCATAGAAATATTTATTACGTCACGGAAATTAAAACCGCCTTGCACCACATACCATATCATACTCCGCCTTCACAATTGAAATAAATTGTAATTGCAAGTAAACAAATCGCTGTCAGTTTAGAAACGGTCGAGTGGTTTTTCTATTGTCATTAGTTTATTTAGAGTACAGCAAATCCATTCTGCATAAGTAGAACCATAGAGAAAATAGAACACTATTTTCTCTATGGTAGAACCAACTGTACAGTTAAACCAGGAGTAATTTTTTCATGCTTAAATCCATTAAAACTTGGCTGACGAGACGTGTTTCATAACCATGCACGCCTACATAACGTACATAAAATATAATACTGAATATGGTTTGTCATGCAGCATATTAATATTACTGCATATAATGAGATCAATGTAATTTTAAATTAGGCGTAAGTATTAATGAGAAAATATATAGGCCTATTGAGTGTCTGATGACACAACCAACAGCTTGTCTAAGGCTGTGCGTTGTTGTAAGGTACTGTTGAAGAAAATATTGAATAAAAACAACAATATTTCATTCATTGACGAATTTTTAAATCGAGTATCTATTCATTTATCAATTTGTAGTATTTTGATTTAAAGAAAATGTTTTTGAAAATTGAAATGATTTCGTGACGTTTTGCGTCTGTTTTTGTTGAATTAATCTGTGGTTTTCTCCCTTTTTGGCTCTCTCTCTGTCTTCCTTATGAATTGTATTGTGTTATTGTTATGTTTGATATAGTACAATTGCATAATAATAGAGGCAGTAAGTCCTCTACGTCATATTGATGTAGACCTACATTATGTATAGCGGGGTCAGGGAGCGCAACAATATTATGTAAATGAGGCGATGTACTCTCTCATGGTTAATCGGGATATCCGATAGGATGATTACATTTTCATCAAGATTGAATAAGCTTGAAATGCTGCAATCATTACGTCATTTTAATAGAATTATAGTATAATGAGATTATCTTTGTCATCATCACCATATCGTGGTCATCACGTCATTATAACCACCACCAACGTCATCATCATTACCATCCTCATTACCATCCTCATCACCATCATTAGCAACATCCTCGTCATCACGATTGTGACCATCATTATCATAAATATGATGATGATGATGATGATGATGATCAACATCATCATCACTATCCTCTCATCATCATTTACATATCCTCATAATTATCATTCTCATCGTCCTCATCATAATCCTCCTCATCATTCTTTTGTAGCTTAACCATTGGTTGTATGAGTCTGGGGTATACCGCATGTTTCTGTGGTCTAACGGTATGGGACTCGACATGATAGCAAACGGTTGTAGGTTCGAATCCCACTAGACTTTATTCCATAAACAAAAAAAGGATTCTCATTGAAGGGCTATGCTCGATACGATTATATTATTTTATGTATCTATTTGAGCACCGCTATAATTCCTAGTTCGTCTATTATATAACCTTGCCGTATATATACCGTTATATATATGCCAATGTACATTTGTGTATATATATACATGTATATATATATATATATCCTTCAATATCATATATATACATATGTATACATATACCGTATATATAAAACCTTGCCATATATACCTTATATAACCTTGCCATATATATACCGTTATATATATATGCCTATGTACATTTGAGTGTATATATACACTATATATATATATATATATTGGTGAAAGTGATGACAATGAAAACAAAATTATATACCTCAGCCACACCATGGTTGGGGCTGAGGTGAGCAAATTTAAAAAATCGACCCCTCTAGGTTCTGCCCTCGCCGGCTGGGGCACGTTCCCCCTTGTTTTTGCCACTAAATTTTAAACATTTCAATGCATAATAATGTTACTGTCTCTTATACACATCTAGATGTGTATAAGAGACAGCATACATACACTGGTATAGAATAAGCCTTATGGACAGCAATGCCAATACAGTAGATAGAGGGAGAACATTATTTGGATGAGTGTACAGGTAATGTAAAACGTACGTTTTAGTTTTGTAGACAGGTATGGCAAAGAAGCATTGAACAAGACTTTACCATCATTTGTTATTGTTTTAACGACAATAATCAACTGTACACATGTTCATCTTCAAATCTCCTCTGCCTGATAATTAAAGAACACTGTGTTCAGCTATTCAGTTTGTTCCCAAACCGTGATAGGGCGTAGTGAGATCACCATGCCAAACAATTACAAAGGAGCAATTCGATTCTACTACGCTACAGTGCTTGTATTATTCATATGCTAATGTGCACCGAACCTGTTCTAGTAGATTAATTTTGCGCAAACCTACACCCTGGTTTGGCATATTTTTATTTAAGGTAATACCTACAGAAAGGGTGCGGTGACTTCAAACTTGACTGTTTGTGTAGATTCTTGGATTTGTATACGTTATACATTAATTCCCAGTACATCACCAGGAGTCACCATACTTCAATTTTGACATTTGGATTTGATATCGCGCAATTCCTCGATGTGGATAAGTTAAATTTCAAGTTTACCATTGTAAGCGACGCCTATACAGGGAAACGGTGACACCAGTCCCTTTGCGGATAACAAAAATGGGCACGGCCAACAACAGAATATTTTTGCCGCTCTTGGTATTTTTATTGACGGTACGTATGTCATCGGTTCTGGACTTTCATTATCTATTTCATTACGTTAATAAACAGATAAACAATTTAATATATAGGTATATATATATATATATATATATATATATATAAAAACATATATATATACATATATATATATATATACACACACAGTATAATATATATACAGTACATACTGCATCTAGATAATTATACATGTATAAGGCGCAATGCTCGTGAATTCACACTGCTCCAAGAAGAATATTAAATTATCATATGCAAGTCGATGATATTTGTACTTAAAATTACGGTGGCTTCCATTATGTATTGTTGTCACCTGACAGTTAGCGATAGCCTATGTTTGTTAATAAATAAGTAGGCGCTAAGAGTTTAGTTACGAGAATATACATTGTATATTACATTGTAATGTGTGGGTGGATTTATATAGCGCTTTATACTACAAAGCGCTCGAGGTCTGGACCGGTCCTACTAAACACCATACGGACCACACGATACCACACGGAACCACACTGATGCAGGAAATAATTAAAATGTTACCACACGAGAGTATAAAACTGCCTAATAATCAATAAATTACAGATACTGTTATGCTAAATCAATAAGATCTTTCTGCTATCATAAGATAATAGGCCTATAATGTATAAATATATACATACATACCGGTACTTATATAAATTCTTCCTATGCATTTATATCGTACAGTAAGATGTGTATAAGAGACAGGTATACATATACCGTATATATAAAACCTTGCCATATATACCTTATATAACCTTGCCATATATCTGTCTCTTATACACATCTAGATGTGTA